GAGTATCATTATATTCCTACTTCTCTCAAGTTCATCATATCTAATCTTAAGACCATTGTCCCAACACAACTCTCCAATGACACATACGCCATATGAAAATCACAAATTCTAAAACTCTTCGTGGCAAGCGGTTTCTCGAAGTATCTGCTAGGCACTGTTGAAATACAAACCTCTAACATTTCGGCACCTAACTCAAGTCTCATTCCAAACCTAGCCTACCTTTCAATGGCTTCTAATAGACCAAACCTGGCGTCAACACTCTGCTCTAATATTACTCCTTCTATTATTCCCTATATTCAGCATCGCCACACCTGTAGCGAGGTCTGGATCAGTCTTGAACGTCCTCTTCAAGCCACCAATCAAACCTATGTCATCCAGCTCAAGAACTAGCTTCAAAACATTTCTATGAAAAAATCCTTCATAGATAAATTTCTCACAGACATCAAAACACTGGTAGACAACATTTCATTTGTCGGATCTTCCATCTACCTTGAAGATGTCATACTCTACACCCTCAATGATCTCCTTCTCCAATATCAAGCATTTAAAACCTCAATCAATACCAAACTCACGTTTATAGCTCTCGATGACTTCTACTCTCTACTCATTAGTGAAAAAATGAACCTCGCCACAGACTCTACCAATACCCAACTACCTCCAAATACTTCCCATGCTCTCTACACCACATGCAATATTAGATACCCTTGTAGTTGATCACGCTTCTATCTCAACTCCACAAATAGAGACTCTCGTAATCCACCTCTATCCCGCAACTTATATGTGTCTATTATCGATCAAATCTACAACAAAATAGGTCACACAGCCAACAACTATTGGTACCGTGTTAACAACAACTACAACTCCACATCAACCAGCTCTACTCTGAAGGCCTTTCTATCCTCGTCCTCATCGACACTTCCCAATGAGTGAACTCTGAATTCAGGAGCCTCATCCCATCTCACACGTTACTTTGACAATCTCATTCAACCTACTCCCATACTCATGGACACTTATTCTAAAACTATGTTATGCATGCTGAATTCAATGCATTACAAAAACAGGGCATATGGACGCTTGTTCTAAAATCATCCAATACTCACATACTCGTCTTACCAAACACATTCAGATCAATTATCACTTCATTCACCAACATGTTCAAGCTAGTCATTTTCAGCCTCAACCAATATCATCTGGGGACCAACCCTCTGGCATCTTTACCAAGCATCTCCCAACTCGGCAATTCCAGCAACTAAGGCAACCCAACCCACATGCTTCCAACAACCAGACACTACATCTACCCTACACGTGTAAAGCAGATAAAGGATACAATAATATCACTACCTATAAAGCTGTATATACATGCGTTTGTACTAAGAAGAAAAAACTAAAAAATGATTCATATAAATGTTATCTATATGAAAAAAAAAAAAAAATTTGGACAGTTAGGCCAATTAAGGCAGATTTATACACATATATCATACATAAGACTCGAATTCAAGACCTCTTAGTTGATAGCATAAGCTCTCAACCAATAGATCAAAATTAGCTGTGTAAAATTTTTTTTTGGAACGGGGAATCTATCCGTTACCATTCCAAAGAGAGCACTTGGCAGCGTAACTAATTCTTCGATGAAACTTAGCGAAGCCACCCACCGAGATCGGGCCCACTTATTTTGCCCCAGTGAAGAGGTGACCTTGTAGTATAGAGGATCGAAAAACAGGATGTAGGGTTTCCAATCGTGCTCGCCCACCAATCACCCTAAACCTCATGGATATGAAAATTTAGTTTAATTATTGGTTTCTTTAGAGAGTACAGATTTATTCTAACTTTTATGGCCTGCGTTATATTTTGCCAAATTAGTTCAACGGCTATTTCGGATTATGAGCTTCGGCTTCTTTAGTGTGCATCTGTGATCTTCCTGCATAAAAAGCCAGCATTCGAATTTCGAACGCCAAATGTGGGCTTGAAATAGTAGATATAAATGAGTCTTAATTGCTTTCCTTTAACTTATTATATATATTTTTTCAAATATAGATTAAAAATATAAAAATTTAAATGAAAGTAATTAAATAATCATTTTAGTTATTTTTTAAAATTGCAACCTATGTTAGCCAAATGATTGGGAGCTAGATTTTCAATCAAAATATCTTAATGTGCTGTATATAAGTTTACAATTAAATCTACTTAAAGTCCTAAATAAATAACTTAGTTTTTAATATTACTTTTAGATGTGATGTAATTATTATAAATTTTATTTGTTTTAATCAACAAAATTTGATAATACCAAAATATATTAGATATCCATTATTAATTTTATAGTATATATCAAAGTTTGGCCTAACAAGATAATTAATTAGAGGTGTAAATGAGTCAAACCGAGCTCAAGCTACACCGAGCTTAAATTATCCACCCCTAGCCTTAACTTGAGCTCGACTATTTAATCAAGTTCAAGCTCGAGAGCTTAAGGTTTCAATTATGACAGGTTCTCGTCACTGCTTTCATTATAATTTCAAGTATTTTTTGTACCAGAAAGCTCTTTGAGAAAGTAGTTAGAAAATTGTCCCAAACGAAAGCCAGCTCATTTATAGTAAAAGAGGAAAATAATTATGATTCAAATAATTATTATCATAATTCTTTTAATTAAAATATAAAAAGAATAAGAAATTAAAAAACTAACATATAATACAAAATCACTTTATATAAGAGAGTGATATATTTTTTTTTATAGCTTTATACATCAACTCTTAAATTCTATATTTTAACTAGGGGTGTCGATTTCAGGTCACAGGTCGAACCTGGAACTAACTCGGGTCGATCCTAACCGACACGAGTAGGTAAACTAACCGGAAACTCGGACCCGGAACCGGACCCAACCCGTCGGGTTGCCGGTTGACCCGAACCGACATGGGACGCGGGAGCGCAGGCGGGAAGCGAGCTCGTGCGGTGGACGCAGGCGCGCAGGTGGGTACGCAGATGCTAGCGAGCAGGCAAGCAGCGCAGGCTCAGGCGGGTAGCTAGGGCAGGTGTGCGAAGCCTTGGGCAGCGCGGGCAGCTCATTCTAAACAGGTTTCCGGTTTAACCCGGGTTGGGGTTGACCCGGCAACTCGTCGGGTCAACCCTAACCCAACTTGTTTTTCAAACGGGTCGAGTCTATCCCGAAATTTCCGAGTCGGGTTTTCGTGTTGTGTCAAATATTGACGCCCCTAAGTTTAACTGCATTGTATATTAAAAAAATTTTAAACAATGACTTATAAGCTCATTGAACTTAGCTCATGAGCCATTTTTCGAGCCGGATCACAAATCAGCTTTATTCACTTACACCCTCAAAATTAGCAAGCTGAGAAAGGAACAAGCCTATATTCAACCATAAATTTAATTTAAATTAGACCTTACGATAAATAAACATATTTTAACACTTTATTTCTATATTAATCTTTCAATAAACTAAACGTAGAATACGTTAAAACAAAAACATACAGATTAAATACCCTAATAAAAAATAATTAGAGAATAAAAGATGTACCTCTCGTACTGAGCTGTGGGAAATAGACAATCTTTGTGATATTTCCAACCAAATAATTTATTTATTTGAACATATCGATGCTTGAATTCATATAATTAGGTTGCCTAATCAATCATTTTATCTGACTAATGACACAATTAATTACTGAATAATGGTCTCTGTCAACGTCTTAAACAGAAGAAATCAATGCGTCTTATCTCTCCAGCTAGCTTATAATTCAATAAATCAGTTGAGCTGAAATGGACTTTGAAGGCAACATATATAGGAGCTTAATTACTTTTGATTTTAGAAAACAATTTCTTTATTTCTGGTTTTGTTACTGATGATGAAGCAAATTTCTGGTTCATTTGAGAGAGAATCAGTTGAGGCTGACTTAACTGAGCTGGTCTTCCTAATTTTGTGTGTAGTAGGAGCAAATCCAATAAGAAATCCAAAAAGATGTAATTTCTTGGGTGTTTTATTTGTGTTGTGCTTTTTTTTGGTTTGCTTGATTCTTCTTCGCTTTAGGTCGTTTTTTTTTTCTTGGAATGGTTAGTGCAAATTGTTTTTTCTCTCCAGCTGTGCTGCTGCTCGCTTCTGTGTTTCTAGTGTTCCTTTGTTGGGCTGCATTGTAGCTTTTTCTTAGTTGTTTGGATTTTCTTTTTGATGGTTGTTTTCTTGTATTAATAGGACCATAGGCTCCTTCGGTTTTGATTCAAATGATGTATTTTTAGTAGAGCTCTTGATCCTTTAAGGACTTGTAACCATTTATTTATATCAATATGTAGGCCCCTGCATGAGTTTTATCCAAAAAAATAACAAAGTTGCATAAGACATTTTAGATCTATAATTAGTTCAATTGGACTAATTAAAAATGCAGGGCCCACCATGACTCCTCACCCATTATTATGGGATGCACATAGGCAAAGAGTTTTTTTTAAAAAAAAAAAATTTACATAGGCAAGAGTATGTAGTAAAGTAATCGGAAAGCGCATCATCTCACAAGGATTGCACCCACAAAGTACCGAAAGTGAATTGATTCTAACTCTATTTGAGTAATTGAGATAGGAGTTATGGCAAGCAAAAAATCAAACAAACTAATTGCAAAAATTAAAAAAAAAATGCAAATAGTTGAAATTAAGGGTTGAAAATCCAAAGGATTAAATTTCAACAGGATAAGTTATATTAGTTTTATTGCAAAGTGAATCGACTAATGAAATCAAACTTGTCGTAATCATATTCTATAATACATCATATCATTCTCTCAAAAATCTATGGCCCATTAATTTATCAATACAACATATGATCATCCACATGGAAGATTCAATTTTAATAAATTCTTTTGATTTCGTACAAGAGATCTTAACTGATTGCATGATTTCAACATAGACATCTATATCATATGATTCATAGTGATAATCCAACCAAGATGAGTTTATTCTCTACCTTCCAATTTCATATAAACCTCTAAAACTCACAATTATTATTGGCTAGTCAATGACAAGTAAATAAGCACTCATTGAAAATATGCAATAAAAATGAAAGCATACAAATCAAATGATCACAATAATAATAACCTAAGTACATCTAATTCCTAGACTAGGGATTTTGCTGATGCTAGAAAGAAATAAAATGCAAATATACATGATTGAAAGCAAGAACATCTAAAGAGGGGAGGAAAAAAAACTCGGATTTGTGAGCTCTCACTCTAGACGATGGCAGCTGGATGTGGCGACTGATGATAGTTGGTGGTGGTGACCGGTAGTTAACAGTGTTGACTGCAATTGGTGAATGGCAACGAGTTATGGTGGAGATAATTATTTAAACAGAAACTCAATCAAAAGCTTATAAAAATTGATCTCATATTCAAACAAAAAAACAAATAGGCAATCAATCATCCCATTTATATGAAAGAACATCACACCAAATTAACTCCAAGTGCTAAAAGATTGGTGATCAGTAGTTTCTTCAAAGAACAAGTCACTTTTGGATGATATGTCTTGGAATGTGCGCAATTTTAATTGGACAATTTGACAGTCATTTTCGGGTATTGACAACATTTTGTCCCTAAACCCTTAACCCTAAAACTTTGATTGCATTTGTCAGAGGAAATTTTGAGTGTTGCATGGCTTTAGTCTCTTAGTGATGGGGCGGCTATTTTTTAATGTTATCTTCTAATAAAAAAAAGTCATCCTATCATTAAGAGATTAAAGAAAAAAATATTTTAAGATTTACCAAAAAAATAGTTGCCTCAATTATATGGGTTTTATTAATTATTTTGAGTGGCTACACATTACAAGTCTAAGATGGACTATATATATTCATTTGTCAGACATAAACCAGTAAGCATATTCAGTGTACCATTGGAGTAAAGTAAAAAAGTGTGGACCAAATGCAGATTAAAATTGGACCAAATATGTCAATGATTATATCTATTTATAACCTAAAAGTTTATAAACATATTCTTTTGACATCATATATGGGATTTGAAGTCTTTCTGGAAAAGTAGGGTGTAATGGCATCCAAGGAAGGATAGAAAGATGTAGATCAGTAAGTTTGATATTAAAGATTTTAAGTGTTGAAAGATGTTTATCAAAGATATTATATGTACCATAAAAAAAGTACACTATCTTTGAGATGAAGTTCAAAAAAATTGGGATATTTTTGAAAGACAAGTATTTGAAGTTGTCTGCCTAACTTCAATAAAGAATATTACATTCAAGATTTTAACTCAAAAGATAAAATTTGTATGAAAAAAAAAACATACTGATATTTCACGAGGCCTCTGAAGAGTGAACCTTCACACAATTCGGTTCTTGAACAGAAATTCCACGTCGCTAGGGTTTGCAAAGCTTCTCCTTGCAGTAATCTTAAGCAGAGCTCCATCAGCAAGTAACCGTTGGAGAACCCTAGCTATATTTTTAGCGTCATCAATTCCAAGATGGTGGCTTCCCAGCAAAGGGATCCCTAGTTGCCTCATCATTGTTCTCATTCCTGTAGCCTGAAAGCAAAGGAGCCCAACAAACTTTCTTATTTGATAAATAGAGAAGAAAAGGATTTTTTTTTTCTTTTTTTGAAACGATTAACGATGAATTATAAACTGTAATTAAAACCTTTTCTGTTCGCTGGTTGATATATACTTTCACAAGGATAATACTTTCTCCTTAAATTGTTTAGCTGAGAAGCATCTTAGATGGCGCTGAATGAGATGAATAGATATGGAAAAACTAAGCTATCTTCATAAACACTGTAGGGTTAGACACAGCTTTTTTTTGGTCTGTTGGTTATTGGTTGAGAGCTTTGTCTACCAATTAAGAAGTTCTGGGTTCGAGTCTTACATATGTGACGTGTGTGTGAGTTTGTCTTAATTGACGTAAATGTCCCCAAAAAAAACTCTATAGGGTTACATTAGTAATTCCATACCTATTCATTTCATTACTAATAAAATTATGCAATGCCAAAAAGTTGTCCTAAAATGCAGTCCAAATAAAGTTGGATGGGTAAAGTACAAAATTATTAGCATGAATTGTATTAAAACTGATAGTTTTGTATTTTACCTCATGCCACATTATTTAGATGGTGTTTTGTGACGACATGTTCGGACAAATAAGCATTTTTCTCAGCAGAAATATGAAAAGTGGTATCTGAACTGCACTTATTTCCTAGACTGACATCTAAATATTCATTTGATGCCCAAAGAGAGTATAGCAGCTATGCGTACTCTTCTATTATAGAAGTTGAGATAGATGTCCTTAAGGTTAATCCACTCCATAAAGTATGATGGTGTTCTTATCTTCGAAACTTTGCACTGTTGAGGAATCTTTGTCTTCAAATCCCAATTCCCACTGGCAAGTACAACATAAAAGAAATTAATACATTAATTATTGATAATCCAGCAAGAACAATAAGAAGATTTATTGCACAAAAATCTTTTGTTGTTTTGTTGGTGCAAGGAAAAGGGCTGGAGGCCCTACGAGAAATTTTAAGAATAAGATGTTTGATTGAAGATTCAACAAGTGGAGAAAAAATTGTTGATTGAAATTCTTTAGATTGCTACAACTTGGAGAAAAATGAAAGAAAAACATCTCAAACTGCATTAAATAATTTAGTTATTAACCATGTTACAAATGCAGCTCGATGCAGTGATCCTCCAGCCTGCTTATTCCATAATTGATGACCAGTCATCCATTTCTCAAATTCTTCCAACGCATCTTTGAATAGGATAGCAGTATCATGCCAAACTCTATGAAATTCATGTCAAACAAAATAGAATATATAAGCTTTCTTAGTTTCAGTATCGCCCTTAAATTTAAAATGAGTAGACATCATTCATATATATTTGTCCAAATTTGTTAGCCAACGAATTCCAGATTATTCCAAATATGCAGGAGGAGGAGCTTATATAATTTTGTTAAAAAAAAGGTGAACTTGTCAAACTATTTGCAGAGGATAGCATCTGCACATGATTTCTGAGCTTTGCGCCTTATATGAACTTAACAATTTGTCTCAAAATATTAAAAAAATAAATCTTAACCCAACGGAAATGCATATTGAACAATGACAAATTCTATAAACAAATTTTGTTAGAGTTTATATTAGTGAAATAAGAAAAGAAAAAAATTTGAAAAACAATCCAAGTTGGTGGCTTAGCCAGCAACTGGCCCGACATGGCAGCCACATAAGACCCATTCACTCGGACGGGTTAAGACTTGATCCTTGGCCTTTTTTTTTTTAATTTTACTTCTTGTCCGTCCATCTTATTCGCTCGAAAGGAAAAAACCTCAGCTTCACTTTGCGAAACCAAGCGAGGACCCCCACCAACCCATACTTCCTGCTCGCGAAACTCCCTAGCATCTTACTCCCACACAGATCCAGCTTGCCCTCACTCCAACTGAGCCCCATATACAACATGAGACTGAGCTTCAGTGAGGAGAAGTCATAGGTCGTTAAATTTAAAATATGAACACAGTAGCATATTCAGTGGGTGTGATAGAAACAAGAAAGAGTCTTCTTGCAGGCAAGAGGTTGGTTGGGAGTGGAAAGAGTAGTTTTAGCTTTTTGCCGACTCAGCTTGAGCCGCATGAGATGGGCCTAATCATTAAAGGAAAGAAAAAGAATGAAGAAAATTTTAATATAGGCAAATGATGTGCTGATAAAAAATTCTTAAGATTGAAATCAATCGTTATGTAACCCATTTTTTAAATCTCTCTAATAGATGCTTATTTTCAAATAAATGTTTTGCATTAAATAGTACAACAACAAGCCTTTATCCTATCACGTGGGGTTGGCTACATGAATCATTTTTCTTCATTGTGTTATATTAAGAGTCAAATTTAAATCTAATTTAAAAAAATATATATTATATTTCATACTTCTAATCAAATCTTTTTAGATCTACCTCTATATTTCATATGTCGAATCTAATGCATCTAATCTACTAAGTCATTGAAACGTCAACTTTTTATGTGACCAAACCATCTAAAGCACTAAAAGCTAAATTATTTACATCAAACATTGCTTTCTTAGAATCCCTATGAGCCCCGCTATATCGAAACTCATAGCCACCATAAATACTTTTAAAATATTCTATCACTCTATCAACTTATTAAGTTAAATCTCATAAAATAAAAACTTTTTCTTTAGGAATAAATCTTTTATATTTATTCTTCTAAGTTATTCTAAAATTTAATTTTTAAACACATATTCAGCTAACTTTTAGAGCATAAACATTGATAACATTAATCATCTTAGTATCAACAATAACCTTTAAAACTATAATTTTATCTCTTATTCAATTGATTTTTAGAACATTATCATTTAAACTCTTAATGATAATCACACCTACATCATTTCTAGTATGAATCTTAACTGAATACCTAAATTTAAATTCTAAACTATCAATTTCGTTAAAATTTTCTCCAATCTATTTAGTTTCTTGAATACCTATAATACTTATCTTCTTATTTAATTAATTTGCCCGTAAAAATGCCTATATTCTAAGTTTCTATCATAATTCTTTCATGAACTAGCTTCTTTGTCTACCTCTGTCCATGATATGGGAACCCTTGCTTATTTACCACTATATTCAAGTGCCAGCGCAACGGTATTTGCACACCTTTCATTTTATTCGAGTCATACAACATGTCGCTTCCAAGGAGCATCCAAGCATCAATATAATGTATTAAAATATTAATGTTATTATTGTTCAATAAGTTTTATGCTAGTTATTGACTGTCTAACGCAATCCTCCACTTTTTTCATACAGGACTGAGGAACAAACAATGAAAATGTTTATGATTATCCTAACTGCAAAGTACTTACGCCCATCTTTCAGTAAACCAAACAACTTCAAAATTACTAGACATACATTCAGCTTATTTTTTACTCACTTGCAGCGGAAAAATAGTCACCAAATGCTACTCCAATTCCATGTTTGTATCGACCCTTTTTTGTTAACATAAAGGTTGCAGCTGACTAACGTAGATGACCAAAACTCATTAAAAGATTGAAGCTGACTAGCCAAGAGAAATCCTAGCAGAAACTAACTCTGGGATACACTATGAAATACAATTAGTCCAAGATGACCAAAAAATTAAACCCAGGTCCTTGAAGATGTGCAATTAAGAAATAGGATTCTCACATGACATATCAAGGGTTTAAAAACAAGGTGTTAATAATCACTTGTTATAATGATAACTAGGAATTGATATAGTACTCTTATGTTATTCTTTTTTTTTTTTTTGGGTGAAGGATGAACTCAGACAAATAAAAAAAAAAAGTAAATAGCTGCACAAAATTGCTAGCAAACCATTTACCCTCTAGCACATAGGCAAAATACAAATAATCTGTTAACACTTGACTTCAGCTCTCACAAGTAATGCCCATGTACCAAGGAAAAGTGACTCTTAAGTTTCAAAAAGAAGTAAATAAAGTGAACATGAAATGAGTGTAACGTTCAACCTAAGCTTTGTTCATCTCCTTTTAATCTTTATTCGGCATTATGAGTAAATGTTGGGGAGTGTAAACCCAAGAGGGAATTAAGTTAGACTAGATACAGCAACCCATTTTTAATCCAAAAGCTTAAGTTTATGTATGAGCCAAGAATTTCATATTTCTAAATCAATATATTTTTAACTATTTGATGTCAAACTAAACTTAGAGCCGTTTGCGCACACACACACACGTAAGAGCACTCCACATCACTTTAACTCAAATGAAAACTCATCAAGAGTATCATATAAACATATATCAAGACCCCACTCAACCATATGAATGAATAGGAGTCGCACATTTTTACCTTGCTCAACTATAATATAGTAAATACAACTATGGTAAAACCCACCATACCCAAAGGACATACAAATCACATGAATCACTCAATCCCAACATCATCAGCTTTGATACCGCCAAATCACATGAATCACTCAATCCCAATATCATCGGCTCTGATACCGCCTATTGGGGAGCGTTAATCAAAAGGAGGTCTAAGTTGTGCCAAATACACCCTTGATCAAACCCATTTCCACCTAAATGCTTAAGCCTAAGAGAAAGACTCAAACACTTGATATTTCTACGCTAACATATTTTTTAACCATCTAGTGTGGGACTATACCTAAAGCCCTCAAGTATCGTAATAGTCAATTGCTTGTTTCCAAATACAAAATGTATGGTAATTTTTTTCATGTGTGTCAATGTGTGTTTGTATATTTATTTATTTATAAGCACTAAAGAAAATAAACCTTTGTGTCTAATGAATGTAGCAAATATCATAGCTTTTTCATTGATTAATGTCACTTATTTTTCTATTACCACCATTTTCTAGAAAGTTTGAAATTGTTCATTCATTTATCCATACAACCCATTAAGGACAGCTCAAAAACAATCCTACTTTCTTTTACATTTCTTGGCAAATTTAAGGATTATTATAAGGAAAATGAAAATGATTAAATAATAGAGCAATGAAACTTTCATTGTCTAATCTGTAGATTATTCAAAAATTCTAGAATCGTAACTTCCGCAAGAATACATTACAATATCTGTCTGGCAATCTTCAGAATAATGAAATTAAACACATTTGCTTTTGGTCAGTCCATCAAAACGCAAATTGGAGAAAAACAATGACACAACTGGACATAAACTAGCACACCTGTCCACACCCATTTTTCCATATTTCCCGTCAATATACTGTCCAACTCTTTCTTCGCTCATTCCAGTGGGCCTGACGAACCTACATTCAAAGTAATTTATTTGATAACAACTTCAATAAATCCTAAATATAGAAGTTTATACCAATAAACTGTAAAAAAAGAAAAGAACCAGTCATGACATGAACATAAATATCAAGGGTAAATGAAGCATTATGTAGAATAACAGAATATGAGCAGCGTAAGTTGAATTATCCAGAGAACCATTCCTCACACGCATGTCCCATAAAAATTTGTAAAGATGTTTTTGTGGATATTTAGTGAATAAACATTTAAGTTACATAGAAGCATTTTGAAAACCCAATGTTGATTTCCCAATCTAAATCCACAATATCCACTCCAATTTAGCTAAATTTTGAAGTAAAATGCAAGTCTAAATCATGTCACAAGAAATGAAGTTACTTAATTTCCTTTGAAAGCAATTAACTATAAGTGGACAGATTCATTTACATGGCTTGACCTCCTTGTTTTCTTTGATCCACAATTACCGGAGAATCTACTATATTTTAGGAGCTTCATTATAGTAGAGAAAATAAACAATTACGTTGATACAGAAAATTGGTTTGCTCGCATAAAATGGCGGCTTTCCGATGACCCGGTTAGGAGAGTAGATGTATTAAATTTGGCTAATGTTAAGAAAGATAGAGGTAGACTGAAAAAAGACATGGTTAAAAAATATTAGAAATGACCTTTTTTATTAGATTTAAATGAGAATTTAACTCTTAGAAGGCTATAATAGATAAAAAAGAATTCATGTAGCCGACCCCACGTATTGGGATAAAGGCTTGATGATGTTGTTGTTGTTGATAAAGAAAGTGCAGTTTAAGAGACTGCATAATTGTTTGACACAATAGGTTATACTGCTAAAATTCATGACCAACAATTAGTTATATTAACAAAAATTAATCTTATAATAGTCTTTCACTGTTGCATCTTTAAGAACCCTTAATATATGAATCACCAAAAGAGCATAGGAGATATTTGAACCCTAATAATAATCCATTCTTAGTATAGTTTTGCTCGAAACTCACAAAGTTTTGAGTCAATTCTAAATTGACTAGATGAATTTTGAGCAAAGTAATGATTCAACAAAACTTTTGCCTTTTTTTTTATTTGATTTCTAGTCAGATTTGACATACTCAAAATGTGATTCAAATTGACTCAAAAAATATACATTAAATTAAGTTTTTATGCATATCTATGCTTTAGCAGATGACTCAATGGTTAAATTCTAATCTCACTCGCATAAAGAAGAGATTCAAACTTCTCTCATGATTCTATATGTTTTTTGGTTTACAATTTGAATATGGCTAGTTTGAGCCAACTCAAACTGAGTAGGCTCATAATCAAATCTTTTCGAGTTGAGTCAACGCCATTAAAAATACATTTTGATTTTAGTCTTTTATATTGAGTTGATGATTAGTCTTACTCAGATGTTATGAATGAATCACAATTTGCCTTCATTATGCAGTACAACAACACCAATGAATTTGGATTTATGGTGCATACAAAGCGAAGTTACGGAGAAAGACGAGAGAGATAGAGAGAATAGCACTATATTCTAGCATTAACTGTCATTAAATGAAATAGCATTTGATGGCAATTACACAAGTAATCAAATAGCACAATAGAATGATGACTATAGATCAGTGGTGCTCAAGTAAGAGCATCATCAAGCTCAAAATAGCTAATTAAGCCAAAATAAGACTTTTAGGACGAATGCCACATTTAAGACACTACTTACCTTTCCTAACTCCTAGAAATTGGAGTTCAACTGATTATAGGATTGACAATGTTAAGACAACGCTTGAAGTACCCAAATCAAAGCTGATTTGAACATGATTAATAAAGTCACTTACAGGTAATGAGCTAATTTCTTAGGCACGCCAACTAAAATTAAGAAACGGCTGAAACTTTTGACGCCACCACTATCTCATTAGCAGATGTTTTGATTGTTCAAGCAGCCTGGGATTAAATTATATCTGTCAGTTTGATTTTTACATATATAAGTTCCAAATGTGACATATTACAATCATAGCAAGTAGCAACCAGGAGTGCAGGAGTTAGGCTCAGAAGAAGGATGAGATAAAATAGAAAAACAGAACAGATCTGCTTCAAAAATATATATTAGAATGGAATTAAGAATCAATAACAAATAATCAAAAGCTTCATTCTGGTCAAATAATAACAGTTTCAAAGCAATGTGAAGAAGCATGATTAATGCCTCGATGTTAAAACACCCCAAATAAATCAGATAGTTAAAACTTATTATATTAAGTAAATCTTAAAAAAGAAAAAACATTTTGCCTTCATAATGGTTTATATCTCAAATATATGATACCCTAAGTTAATAAATTTATAATATGAGAAGAATAAACAACATTATGATTTATACATAAAATGTACATACATACAAAAATCTGAAGGACAATGCACCTATGAAATGAGTCGACGAAATCCATTGTTTTTGTCTCTATCATCACAACCGGAAATTCAAGAATCTCAACCTTTCCTTCCAAATCAAGTACCAAAAGGTAATCTATATCTTGAGGCCTTAGTTTACAAAGTTCAGAGGCATCTGGTTGAAGATCCACCAAATAATTGTGATTAAATTTCCCAAGGTGGCTAGCATCATCTATCTACAAAACAAATAAACGCCAAATGAAACTAAGGAACTTGAAAGTTCATTTACAAATCGAAAGATAAAAACAAAAAACATATTATGGTGGAATAAAACTACAAGCATTGCACATCATCATATTTCATTGTTTTTATGAGCATAATTTTAGATTCAAATTCGGGAAAATACTCTAGAGAAATAACCAAGAGTGATGAAATTGTACTCTTTCACATTAGGACATTTGATATAAGGGCCAAAAGTTAAGCATGCAATAAAACAATGGTAAAGAATCCAATGCCACACCAAGAACTTAAGCTATGATAAGAGCCAACCAATAGTATTTCTGCACCAATACATTTTTCTATCATCCAAAACTAAACACAATACTCTCACGACTTAACACTTCATCAAATCTATGTCACAGAAGCTATAAAACAGCATAAAACTCTCACAGAAGTTGATTAAACTTTTGATCACAGTCCATCTCCAATACCATTCATATTCCAGTGGAAATGCTCAGATGAATATACCTCCACTGCATACCCACCTACGACACAAATGAGTACAAACAGTGTAGGAAAAATTTACCAGGTCATCCAGATCTTCACAGCGTTTCCTAGTATGGAATGTACCTAAAACATCCCAAATCAAGAAATCCGTTCAAAGTGCACCAAATTGACAAAATCGCTTCCTATATTACCCCCTTGATAATATTAAATTAAGGAAATCGATCAAACCAATTTAATGAAATTATGAAAATGAACTAACAGAATTACTTAATGTAAAAACATTACACTGGTAAAAGAAGAAAATTAAAGAAACGCAAAAGTTCAGTAGCATACCTTCGTGCACTTACCTTGAGTGTAGTATAGACACATGGGCCTCCACCGATCGGTCTTCGAACTTGCAGCTTCGGCAAGAGAAGAGAAGTTCATAGCACTGACGGAAGCGGAGACAATGAGCTTCCTGGTGGAGGCAGCGGGTGCTGTACGGATTGAATGGTGTAAAGAAGAGGGTACACTAGAACGGAGAAGAAAGAACTGAGATAAAGAAACCCTAGCGCACGCCATTCTCTAGCCAGAGATTGATTTCGCCCCCAGACCTGATAGAAAAGTGATGACGAAACGAGGCGTGGGGAAGGATTCCGATAAGGAATTCCTAGCATAAATCGTGGCGACGTCGAATTTTAAAATTTACTATAAATTTGCTCTGCTATTTAGCTGATTTTTAATTAATTCGAATCAGTTGCAGTACACAACTCTCCTTGTCCTATTGGTTGAGAGCTAAGGCTTCCAACTAAGAGGTCTAAGGTTCGAGTCTTTGTGTATGCGTTGTGTGTGTGAGTTTGCCTTAAATGGCCTAAATGTCCCAAAAAAAAAAAATCAGTTGCAGTGCTTAGATTAAGAAAATAAAAAGAAGCTGAAAAACACAAATCAATGTATGTTTGGATTGATGATCAACTATAAAAGTTTAATTGATTTTGACAATTAGCTCAAAAATATTTTTTAAGTCAATTATTGCTATTGTTGGGCTGTTTGCTAGCAGGATGTAGGCCAAATTTTGAGGAGATTTGAACGAAATCCAGCTAAACGGCCTAAAATGCAAAATCACATCTCATGGCAAATAAAAGTCATCGTAGAAGGAAAATATCGTCTTTTCGTGCTAAATTTCGGATTTTTGAAATCATGTTTTTTGCTGGATTTACGAAATACATGTGCTTGAGAGGAAGAATATGCTCGTTAAGTCCGATCTATAGCCAAACAGTCACACGGGATTTAATAGAATTTATCAAGAATGTTACCAAACAGTTTTTAGGATTTAGGCCCCTCAGGATTTTCAAAATCCGGATTTAGAGGATTTATGAAATCTTACTTAAATCAAATCTTGAATTCTACCAAACAGCTTCTAAGTAAAAATTTTCCTACTTTTTAGTCATCAAAGTACTTAAATTGGTAGATGTATTTGAAGTGTTTATGGATCCATCCTTATGGGTTTTGGCCATCTTAGGATGCCCCCAAGGAATGAATTGTCATGAATGATTTTAGTTCAATACTACTTATCCCTCTGCCTCAAAGAAATAGATAACGATTTCCACTTATCAACTCCATGTATTTTATCTCCACCTCTTATTTGAGAAGAGAGATTATCATAGCCACCATGTAATATCAACATCTCTATCGCATTTCAACGTACACCATTATAGAAAATATTCACTATTTAGAAATTTTTTATTGCATTGATGCAATTTTTATTTTCAAGAAAAAACATTCCTTTAAAATCCAAGGGTAAAATTATTAAAAATTATATTAGCTAGCAATGCCCCTTGATTATTCAATTTTTCGAGTTTTCACTTAAAAGATCCATGTGTTAGATGTGTTGCATTTTTACGTTTCTAATTTTGTTCGGTAATTGTTTGAAGATAAAGTAATATTTGCTCCAATTATTATATATTTGTGTATTATCTGAAAGGGGATGAATATTATTATTTCTTCTATTATATTTTTTATGTATGACCTTCAAATTTAAAATTAAAAAAAAAGTTTTATTTATCATCAATGAATTGGGCATTATTCAAATAATTTTTAATATCATTTAATTAATTATCACAAAGATGTATTAATGTTATCTCAAAATAACCCTTATTTAATATTAATTTTCAACTTTGGGGACCTCGAAATGCTAAGGTGAAATTTTGAAAAAATATATTTGTTCTCCATAATTTTGAGAATTTTTTTTCCTAAAAGTGTAGCAATGTAACTCAAAGTCTCCATATTAATAACATACTGATCATGAGAAAATAACTAGATTCACAACCCCATGTAGGAAAATTTTATGAACTTGTTTATTTCAACATCCAAAAATAGGTAACTAATGTGTTCTAATAAATTTTATTATATTAGTCCTCAATCTAATGCAAATTTTACATTTAGTAGCATTGAAGAAATAAATCAAAAAAATTTCTTAATGTTGAACAAGAAGGAGAAATCAAGCTTTAAGAGTAAAGCCAAAATAAGAAGGTTTAAATATCTTATGTGAAGATATTAACATAAAAATTAAGTATGTAGACTTAAGGGAAGTATGGATCTCACTTTCATCTTGCATGAGCGTTTACGTCCTTCAAGTGAATGTGAAAATCTTCATATAATGAATGACACTCTCCACCAAAATGATCTAATATGAGGCATTATTAAAATACCCACAATGGTCTCTACTATTTTCCTTAACAACTCTCATTCCTTCTAATTATCTTGTGCAAACTCTTATAATAAATGGATTTATTTTAAAAAAAAAAGAGAAATTTCACTTTATAAGCCTCATTATATCTGAAATTGATGAAACATGCCAACTTATTGTTTTATTGAAAAAATATGCTCGAAAATTTGCTCGGACCAAAATAATCTCACTTTTGAACAAATAGGTAAAACCCTCATTGAACAATATTGTACAAAATTTTGATCATGCAAGTAGCATGACCCCTTCATCTCCCATGCTCCTTCTTTATTTCAAATCGTGCATATTCGACCAGTGGCAATTTTTCACAGTGGCGTCCTATCTATATTGATCATTTGTGATGAATAATAATATTATTTAGTTGGTTTATTTATGATGAGATGGAATATAAAAGGACTTACTATTAATCTTAAAGCTTGATAATTGTAAATATACGATAAAGGTATAATGCCTTCAGATATACAATAAAGATAGAATGCCTTTAGATAGTATGGTTTCAAGCATCTTCGAAGAAGATTGATCATAATTGAAGCTCCAAGATTTAGGATTTATAAAAATAATATGAATATGAATATGAATCATTCATTATTTCAAATATGTTCTTAGTAGATATGATAACAAATGGTGCAATATGCTCATTTTTTATTTTATTGGAAACATATGCTCGGAAGCTTTATATTGCCAATCATCATTTTTGAAAAAAATAGGTAGAACAATGGTTAAGAACCAAAAAATGCTTAAAATCATAATTGATTATCTTCAAATCATGCTTTAAACCAATAATGGATTATGCTTCAATCCTTGTCTCCATTCGTTTATTTGCTCATTGCTCTTCTTCGTGCGAGAGGCAGACTTTTGAATGATTCGCTAAATAACTTCTTTGCCTCCTTTGACGAAGTTCCTTTCTGTTGAACCTGAAGTCATGCTTCATCGCCGTTCTTCTATTTGATCGGAAGTAACAACAACGGAGCTTGCTCTATGAGAAGGTAGCCATCTTTTTTCCTTTTGCGTGCTTCTTCGGCCAAATCCCATAAATCCGTCGAACTATTGGATTTATTAAATCCAGGATTTATGACAAAAAGAGAGAAACTGAAGATTCAACAGGTTGTGAGATTTAACAATTTCCTAAATCCTATTTGATAGGATTCAACATAAATCCTGCTCAAATCCTACATAACCGTTGTATCCAAACCGTCCCTCAGGGGCTATTTGGCAACAAGTAGGATTTAGTAAATCCTATAAATCCTAATTTATTAAATCCTGTTAAAATTAAATCTTGAAAACTATTTGGCAAGATAAATGTTAAATATTGTAGAACTATTTAGCAATATAATCCAAAATTTTAGGAGGTTAGTTCATTAAAAAATTTAATTAAATTTCTATTTTTTTTAATTTACATTTTAAGTACATGTTATTTATTAATTATTACTTTAATTATCGACAATAAATTATAATTATAAAAATAAAATAATTAGAAACTAATTTAATTATGAAATACCTTATTAATTTTAATTTGATAATATTTTAATTATTTATGAGTTAATTATAATTCCAAATTAATCATTATAAATAATTTAAATTTAAGCTAATTATCAATTAATCTTTTTTAAATATTAATTAACGTTATATTCTTAATTAATATTAATTGACATAATTAAATTAAATTAATTTATTGTGGCAATATCTGTCCATCACTGCTTCCTATAGCCGCAGGTTTGCGAGGGCTGCTTTTCCTCTTCTCCAGCTGTTCATTTCTCTTCGACTTCGCCGGCATCCCGTAAGAGGTAAGTGTTTTGAACGAGTCGCTAAATAACTTCTTCACCTCCTTCGACGACGTTACTTCCTCTCGGATCCGTAGTCACGCCTCCTCGCTGTTATTCTGTTGCGTCGAAAGAAAAGTAGCCTTCTTTCTTCCTTTCGCGCGCCTCTTCGGCCAAATCCCGTAAATCCGCCGAACTACCGGATTTAGTGAATCCGGGATTTACGACAAAAAAGGGTAACGGAGGACTCAACTGGCTGTGAGATTTAAAGGTTCCCTAAATCCTGTTTGGCAGGATTTAGCAACGGTGATTGATGGAGCTTTTGGAGCAATGGAAAGCCATACTTAAGATTCAGAAATTTCGAAGAGCGGTATCCTACACTGGCTTTTACTGCTTTGTTACTCTCATCAGCTATGCATTCACTAGCAACACGTAAGAAATATCACCGCTGCCATAACGACACTATTAAAGTCTCTATAAGTATCCTCAGTTTTTCCTAGTTACTCCTGTCTTTGTTTGGTGGATTGCAGCACAAGAGCTGGCTTCTCAAATGGTGACCAGTACTATGCTTCTTACCCTGCTAGTATTGAGCTTCTTACAGACACAGCAAAGGTGCCTCTCATTTATTTATCATACTTTTATTTGTTGGGATTTACTTTCTTGTCATATCCTAAAAAATATCGTTTATATTTTGAATATATCATGATTTTCTGAGCTATATTTTAATATAAACAGCAACATGAGCACCTAAGTTAACTATTGGGACTACCAAACCTGAAAGTTTCACAACCTGAAAGTTTCACAACGGGACCAAAACTGAGTTTGAAAGATTAGGGCTTCATTTGGGATGGCTTCTCACTGCTTTTTAAAGCAGCTTTTTAGTACAAAAATTTAAAATTTTGTATTCAAAAGTTATTTTAAAAAGAAATAAGAAAGCCGACCCAAACGAAACCTTAGTCCATTGGCTGGTAGTGCCATATACTTATTTTATCTAACTGAATTTGAAGAATTAAATATTATTGAACATTTGTTTATTTTGCATATATCATTTGAGAATTAACTTTAAATTTTAATGAATTTTAAGGATGCAACTTTGTAGGCAGACGTTGTCCTGTTTTTAGCTTTGATGTTTTTGATATTATGAATTTGCATGCTTTTCGTCTAACTAGTTATCGTATCTGAGTTTTGCTTTGGTGTTTCAAAGCTAATGCAGCGCATTTTTTGGATTCTATGTTGTTTTTTGAACTTTTAAATATGTTTCTTTTACATATATAGTTGAAAAACTAACTTCAAAGCATTTCAATGATTCAGCTTTATAAAGCAGCCCTTGCTAACTGTTTTGAGGAGGAAGAATGGGGGCCTATTGAGTTCTGTGTAATGGCAAAGCATTTTGAACGCCAAGGAAAACCTCCATATGCATATCATTCTGTAAGTTGAAAGTTCTACTTGGATAATTTTTTTATATCTATTTAAATCAGTGAGTTTGGGTACTATCCTTTATAGTGTTTGCCCATCTTTTTTGCATTTGTTAACTCATGTTGCTAAAACTATCGTGGTAAGTTCCTGAATCAGGGTCGATGTTTTTTTTTGGGGTTGCAACCGTGGAGAGACTCAGTGTGAGGCTTTTGTTGATATCTACATTGAATTATATTATACAGATTAACTCCCTTAGTCTCTAATGACTTAATTGGATACTACATCGGAGGAGGGAGGGGGAGCGATTTTGAACGAAATGATGCGGCTGCACTCTTTGTCTACTTGAAGAATGACTATGAATTTGATACTACATTGAATCTAGTTTTCTGTTCTTGAAATCCATGAAGTGTTGGGGAAGCAAAACACAACGAATACAAACAAGAAAGAAAAATGCAGTGGAAAAAAAAAAAAGAACACTAGGATTGTGGAAAACCCAAAATCAGGAAAAAAATCTCTCTTTTCTCTCTCACTATCTCCTTGTCTCTTTTCACCTTTACACTGTTTTCTCACTTGATCTAACAAAGATACACACCAAAATAAAAAAGGATGCAACCCTTAATGAATAACGAGAAAAAATAGCCGAGCCCGCCTTGCAGCGTTGTAGTGCCAACTTTGGAGCATTGTGGCGCTTAATTCTATGTCTCCAGTCTGTCTGTCAGTGCTGTAGAGCTGGATCTAAAGAAACCTAGCACTTCGTTCTCTGTCTACCTCCAACCAAACAATAAAGCATCGCAACGCTCGGACACACAACACTACAGTGTTCTATGGTTGTATGAAAAAAATTCAGGTGTAAAGCATTCGAATCTAAGTTGGGGTGAGGAACCCCTACAACCCCTAGACGAGCTCGACCGATGGAATTGATGTCCAAGGCAGCAGTACAAGCCGATTAATCGACATAATCATATTCCACACAAAGCTAACAATCTCCCACTTGAAAACTAATTGTGATCAATCATCATCCTGATATGTAGCACTAATCATATTACAAGTAGTGTGGCTCACCTTTGCTCTCATCCCTTATGAAGACCTATTGAAGCTACACATAGTTTCCATTTATCAGTTGTCATCGTCTTCATCAGCATGTCTGTAGGAATTTTGGTCATGTGAATCATCTCCAAAATAAATGACCATCTTTAAAAAGCGATTTAATGAAATAATATCAAAGTTAGAATTGCTTCAATCTTGTTATGGAATGCAATGTTTTTGGATAGATGAATAGCACTCATGTTATCACTATGCAACTTCTCACTCTTGCCCTTTGCCAAGATCTGTAAAAAAACTTTGCAACAATATAATCTCTTTGCTAGCCTCAGTGATAGCAATATACTTAGCTTATGTGGTTGAGGGCACAATAATCTTCTTACTGCTTTTTAAAGTAGTTTTTAGTACAAAAATTTAAAATTTTGTATTAAAAAATTATTTTAAAAAGCAGTAAGAAAGCCAACCCAAACGAAACCTTAATCTATTGGCTGGTAGTGCCATATACTTATTTTATCTAAACTGAATTTGAAGAATTAAATATTATTGAACATTTGTTTATTTTGCAGATATCATTTGAGAATTAAGTTTAAATTTTAATGAATTTTAAGGATGCAACTTTGCAGGCAGACGTGGTGCTGTTTATAGCTTTGATGTTCTTGATATTATGAATTTGCATGCTTTTCGTCTAACTAGTTATCGTAACTGAGTTTTGGTTTGGTCTTTCAAAGCTAATGCAGCGCATTTTTTGGATTCTATGTTGTTTTTTGAACTATTAAATATGTTTCTTTTGCATATATAGTTCAAAAATTAACTTTAAAGCATTTCAATGATTCAGCTTTATAAAGCAGCCCTTGCTAACTGTTTTGAAGAGGAAGAATGGGGACCTATTGAGTTCTGTGTAATGGCAAAGCATTTTGAACGCCAAGGAAAACCTCCATATGCATATCATTCTGTAAGTTGAAAGTTCTACTTGGATAATTTTATGATATCTATTTAAATCTGTGAGTTTGGGTACTATCCTTTATAGTGTTTGCCCATCTTTTTTGCATGATGCTTACCATATTATTTGTTAAATCATGTTACTAAAACTATCGTGGTTAGTTCCTGAATCAGGGTCGATGTTTTTTTTTTGGGGTTGCAACCGTGGAGAGACTCAATGTGCGGCTTTTGTTGATATCTACATTGATTGATATTATACAGATGAACTCCCTTATTCTCTTTGAAGAATGGCTGAAGTGGATACTACATCGGGGGAGGGAGGGGGAGCGGTTTTGAACAAAATGATGCGGCTGAACTCTTCGTCTACTTGAAGAATGACTATTAATTTGATACTACATTAAATTTGGTTTTTTGTTCTTGAAATTCATGAGGTGTTGGGGAAGTAAAACACAACGAATACAAACAAGAAAGAAAAATACAGCGAAAAAAAAAACATTAGGATTTAATGTGGAAAACCCGAAATCAAGAAAAAATCATAGAGCCACGCCACACTCAGAAATTCATTATGAAAATTTGGGAGAAATAGTACAAATCTCTCTTCTCTCTCACAATCTTATTGTCTCTTTGAAAGGATAGGCAAGAACCGGAACAAGAGCTGGTTGCCAAACGGAGATAGAAAGAAATAAGGGAATTGTATTGAAATGTAAAAGAGAATACAAGAGACTTTAAATAGACTAAACAGGTAAAATGGTAATAATAGCTGGTACAAGATAAGGTAATAATGTTCTATGCTAACACTCTTTTCACCTTTACACTGTTCTCTCACTAGATCTAATAAAGATACACATCAAAATAAAAAGGGATGCAACCCTTAATGAAAAACGAGAAAGAAAATAGTCAAGCTCGCCTTGCAGCGCTGCAATGCCAAGTTTGGAGCGTCGCGGTGCTTAATTCTCTGTCTCCAGTTTGCCTGACAGTGCTGCAGAGCTGGGTCTAAAGCAACGTAGCACTCTGCTCTGTGTCTACCTCCAACCAAACAATAAAACATCGCAACGCTCGGGCACACAACACTACAGTGTTGTGTGGTTGTATGAAAAAAATTAAGGTGTAAAGCACTCGAATCTAAGTTGGGGGGAGGACCCCCACAACCCCAAGATGAGCTCAACCGATGGAATTGAGGTCCAAGGCAGCAGTACAAGTCGATTGATCAACACAATCATATTCCACACAAAGCTAATAATCTCCCACTTGAAAACTAATTGCGATCAATCATCATCTTGATATGTAGCACTAATCGTATTACAAGTAGTGTGGCTCACTTTGCTCTCATCCCTTATGAAGACTTACTGAAGCTACACAGTTTCTGCTTATCAGTTGTCATCGTCTTCATCAGCATGTCTGTATGACTTTTGGTCATGTGAATCATCTCCAAAATAAATGACCATCTTTAAAAAGCGATTTAATGAAATAATATCAAAGTTAGACGTGCTTCATCTTGGCATGGAATGCAGTGTTTTTGGATAGATGAATAGCTCTCATACTATCACTATGCAACTTCTCATTCTCTTGCCCTTTGCCAAGATCTGTAAAAAAACTTTGCAACAATATCATCTCTTTGCTAGCCTCAGTGATAGCAATATACTTAGCTTATGTGGTTGAGGGCACAATAATTTTTTGTAACTTGGAAACCCAACTCACAATTTTTTTTTCCAAAGTGAAGATATAACTAGTTGTGCTTCTACTACCATCAAAATCTCCAACAAGATCTGAATCTACATACTCCTATAGATTAATCCCTGCATCCTATGATAAAGAACTTTGTGAACTGATCCTTTCAAGTTTCTAAGAATCCACTTAATCACCTCTCAATGAAATTTGTCTGAATTACTATTAAATTTGTTGATTATGATACGACTGTTGACCCCACCTCAGTTGAAGAGCTAAAAAGCTCTAGTATTGTGGGTCCTAACCTCTCATTTCAGACCTATAGGAGGAAAAAGTTTAAGGGGAGATCATTGGAGGAAATGTGAGGTGCATTTATGGTGGGAAACGCCTAAGGGGAGATCATTGGAGGAAATGTGAGGTGCATTTATGGTAGGGTTAGGGCTGGTTTTAAGAGGGAACATTCGTATGTGAGAGGGACTATGTGAAGAATTTTATGAAGTAATTTTTCTTAGGTGATTTTGGGTTCTTAGTTGCTGTTAGGAAATTAGGGAAGAGTTGATTCACCTCTCGAACAATGAATCAATTGTATACTGTGTTTCATTGATTGAAGATTGTTATTTCACATTTATTAGTATTGTTCCTACATACCATTGTTGTTTTTTCTTGATTTTGGTGGTTGTTTTTTTGCTATTTGGTGCTGATTTTACTTTAGTGTCTATTTTGGTTGTTGATTTGATCTCCAAATCATATCAAATTACTCCCACTATATATGCTATATCTGATCTTGTACAAATCATAGCATACATCATGGAGTCCTCTTCATCTGTTCTTGCTATGCTTCATATTTAGGCGGTTGTCATCATTGCTGAAACAGATTGAGAAATGTCATCATATGAATTAGTCATGTAGCATTGATTTTTTTTATTGTTGTTATCATGCATATCTTTGGACAGTTGCAATTGAATTCTTTTCCTGCTGCACTTGGATAGTTAAATTTGATATACCATATAACATTTTTTTTTTCAGCAATATATGGCACACCTTCTTTCTCATGGGCAACTTGATGATGGGAGCAGCTCGCAATGAGAGGTGCACATTCCACACATCTGTTTCTTATGGATGATGAACATTGCTTTATAGTTTATGTAATACATTTTTATATTTTATTCTGTAAAGATTTAGGTTCTTTCTCATTTATAACTTGATTACAGCAGCTGCTCAGAGAGGGATTATAAAAACTATCATGGTGGTTTTTCTTATAGCCCTTGATACGAGATACTCAAATCCTTGGAGGAAATAACTTTCTGTTATACCAGGATCAAGCAATTTTGCTGCATGGTAGTATGTCTATGCTGCATTCAAATGAATTTTCACAGAGGGCAGGAGGATTTTCTCCACCATTAGGGACATGTGGCTGCAACGAAGTGTATTGTCTAATTCAAGAACTTCTTTATCCTTGCACATCACTCACTTATTAAGAACTTTATAAAACATTTTGTTTATATGCTATTTTTTTTTTTAAATTTTGTTTTAAGTATTCTTACTAAAATACCAATGGCAGTCGTAGTTTCTAGCAGCGTTTTTGGAAGTTGGCATTGGAATTTTCCTTAATATATGATGTAATTCATTAAGGTTTCGTTTGTGATGGCTTTCTTAGTGCTTCTTAAAGCAGCTTTTTAGTACTAAAATTAAAATTTTTGTATTAAAAAATTAGTTTAAGAAGTAGTAATAAAGACGTCCCAAATGAAGCCTAAGATTATTTGCTTAACGTAAAAAGATCCCAACTAAAGCTAATGGACTTGTTCTTGACTTACAGCTATCAATGTCCAAGAGATTCGCCTCTCGCTCCTGGGGCTTGATGATCATTCTTAGAAATTAGCATTTTATTACTAGGAACTCGTCATGGAGGTATATCATTTAGCTAGTACACGTGTTAGTGTTAATTTGTAACAATTATGTCACTTATTATTATTTTTTTTTAATTTTCTCTTAGGCTTAGCCTTTTTTAATATACGTCATATTCATTTCACTCAATTTTCTAGCTCTTATTCGCCAATAATATGTTAATAAGGAGTTGGTTGTACTTCACGATTAAATTTGAATCCAACAATGAATTAATTTTACGCTATGTGCTTTATATATTCTTATATATTATGTAATTCTATTAAACTTTTGTTTCAAAGATATTTAAGACATTTGATAAATAATTAAATTGGTAAAGTAATTAATCAAATTTGTAGGACATAAATGATACTTGCAAGATAGTTTTAATGCATAATTTGCAAATAATTTGAGAAAAAAAATGAACCAACTTAAACAATCTAATATTCAGCTTAATTCAACCCATTTACAACACTAGTAGTTAGGGGTGTCAATTTGGGTCAACGGGTCGGGTTCGGGTTGAACCCGAAGCTAACCCGACACTATTTGGGTCAACTTGAACCCGACCCGTTTTTAAAAATGGGTCAAGTTTTCGGACTCGACCCGACCCAACACGAATGACCCGGGTTTGACCCAAAATTACTAGTTTTCGGGTAAAAAAAAGGGTCAATCTCGAGTTTTCGGGTAAAAAACGGGCCAATCTCGGGATTTCGGGTCAAAAATGAGTTTTCGTGTCACTTTCGGGTCAAATTTGGGTTGCTGGGTGAACCCGAACCGATTTTTAAAACGGGTTGATTTGTTGAACCCGAACCCGACCCGTTTTGGGTTCGGGTTGACTGGAACCCAAATTTTTCTGGGTCGGGTTCGGGTCGGATTTCAGGTCGTGTCAAAAATTGACACCCCTACTAGTAGTGCATGAAATTTTCACACTAATGCAGGAAGTAACAGGCCTTTGTGGCAGCAAAAAATTTTGTAATAGTTATTTCATATTAAATTAGATTGAAATATTTTGATATAAATTATATTAGGTCGATAAGACAAAATATTCAAATTCATAAAATAAATACTTAAAATTAAAAATAAAGTTAATTTATTTTTTATTTTTTATTTTTAAATACCTTTTAATTTTGAGTATGTTATAATTCTGAATATTTCATCTTATGTTATTAATATAGATTATATCATCATATTCTAATATGATATTTTTCATTATGAGTTATTTTGTTCTAAATAAATTTAATAAAATGTTTGCAAAGCTTGGTTAAGTTGTTAATTTCAAAATTAATTATTTTTTCGTTAATCGCATCATTTTCTTCTATCACTTAACTTTAAAAAAACCTACATAAAAAAATACCATGTTCAAAATTTATATATTTACATAAAACAAATAAAGAATTCATTATTTTTTAAACACAAATTTAGGCAATAAATCATTAAATCAGATACGTAAATGGAGAGTAAATTAGCCGACCTAGGCCGCTCGGAGAACTTGAGAGTATGAGGGCCATCGTCCAGCGCGTCCTCTCAGCCAGCGTTGAGGTAGGAGACAAGACTCTAGCATTCTCTCAGCCGTTTAATGGCGAGTACCCATATCTTATTGCTTCGTTGCAGGTCGAAGGGCGTCTCGTGTCTGAGATTGGTCCGGGCCTTCTCGTGTTCATTGGCATCCATGAATCCGATGTCGAAGCTGACGCTGATTACATGTGCGTTTTTCCTATGTCCTTATTCATTGCTTTTTTCTCACTTTATTGGAGAAACTCGACTCCATTGAATGCATATTGCCCGGGTGCTGCTCGTTGTTTTGAGAAGTTTATCACTCTAAAAAATAACTGTGGTAAATTTGAGTATGGCGTTTGTTTGGATTGTTACTGACTTCGATGAGGGCCAGGGCCTTCCGTGCATGCACGAATGACTAGTTTGGCTCATCCTCTAGGATAGTTTTTTTTTATTATTATTTTATTTTTTATTAGAAGTTAATGACTGTCATTCATGAACGTATTTATCAATCATGGAGTAGCTCATATTTCTATCTGAGAGAACAATGTTTTTATTTTATACAACACAACAAAAGTACTAGTTTTTATTTTATATAATTAAAGAATAACTACCTTGAAATAATTGTACCTAATGAAGCAAATCAAAATTAATTCCTTTTTAGCCTACTTTGAGTTGTATTTTAGTGGGAGGTAACATAATCCAAACAGAAAATTGGGGCCGTTTGGGATTTTCCTCATAATCATCATCGCTTCATCTCTACTATTTGGGTCAGTTTTATGAATCCTCATTGTTCGGTTATTCTTGTTGAGTGCTAGTTAAGATATTCAAATTATTTTTTGTAGATCTTTTTGCACAATCATTGTCTATGTTGATGCAAATCTCAAAGCTTATAGTCATCAAGAATGCAAGATGAGTGAGTTGAGATGAGGAATTTGATATTGTGACAATTGGTTTTCCTTTTCTTCTCTAGATTCCAATCTTTGTTTTTATTTTTTAATGTTTATGAAATTTTACTTTTTAAATCTGAAACTTGAGTTTGGAGATATGAAATTTCATATTTTATTTGTCCGATCTCTCCTTTCAATACTTCCACCTTTCTTCCCGCTGTATGTCCTCAGATCTTTATAAGGCTCAAAAATTCGGATTTTCTCCCAAAAAACAACAAAAACAACAAAAACAACGATTCGAAGGAGAAAAAACTACTGCATGAATCAGCCCAAACAACCCCAAAACAGCCCAGGACACCTCTCAGATACCAATTTGATAGGAAATACTTGTAGGAATAAGAGTTTTCCTTGTTGAATTTGAGTTTCAACACTTGCAAACATATTGGAGAAGAATTTGGAAGAAATAACTAGAAACAAACCTCTTTAATTTATAAAAGGTGAAAGAAAATGAACAAGATGCAACATACAATGGATCCTCAATTAGAGAGGAGGGTCTATCTCTCCCAATCTCTAGCTAGCAGCTAGAGCCCAAACAAACACTAGGAACTCTCTAAATTTCAGCAAATATCAAGATAACCCTAACCCTAGATAATCTCATCTATTTAATGCATACAAATACAACTCCAATTTACAAAACAACCCCTCCCTAAATCAAAACCTTCCTAATCCACCCCCTCCTCTTCAAGTAATGGGCCCTACAAGGGGGCCGGTGGCTAGCTTGGCCGCCCTAGGGTAGGGCTGGTTTACCCGGCCCTCCTTGGGTTGGTCCCACCGGTCTAACAATGTAACATTGGGCTTTACAGATTTTTCCCTTTTTCATATAAGCCTTGATAAGATGTTAGTATGAATTTTGTATTAGGATTTAGTACCACCGCAAAAGAAAACATTCCATTGTTGTGGTGGGAAATTATTTTTCTGGTGTATAACATTTATTTATATAATATGATTGCTGATGCTTCTTTTGTAGAGAAATTATATTTTAATGAGGTGATTTAATTGCACAAATTACCTAAGATCATTATATCTGATAAGGATTTAAAGTTCATGAGTTATTTCTAGAATTTTGGGTAAAAAAATAGGAACTCAATTAAAGTTTTGAACTATTTCATCCATGAACAAATTAATGCAACCAATAGTAATTTTGATGATCTTTTGTGATGTCTAATTAAAAAGTATGCATTCAATTGGAATTTGATACTAGCCATAGTTAACTTTGCATACAATTAATCTATTAGTATGCTTATAGATGTGAAGCCATTTTAAATAGTTAAAGGGTTTTAACCACAAAGTTTGTAGATCTTATCTAATCACTTATCGTGATGGCCATTTTTTTTTCTCATGCAGATACTGACTCCTTGTGGTTTCACTTTTTCCTGCTTTACTTTTGAAAAGCATTTTCTTTTTTGGAGAAAGGTGTTTCGAAAGTTATTATTTTCATGCACGCCTTCTCTGTTATTTCGTAAGTATCTGCACCATCTTGTGGAGCAGCTCACATTTCTATATTAATGAAGAGATGATTTTATTTCTTATAAAACAAAAAAAGTACAACGTAGTGGTACCAAACGAAGCCTGCCTTCAACTGTCAGATGCTGAACAGAGTCTCAGCTACAAATATAATTAACTATTGCATATATTCGTATATTATTGAAGCCAATACTTTGAGGATTTAAATGTTGTTTTGACTTAACTATGTTGATTTTTTATTCGTGGTTCTTTCTCACATGGTATGCTATATTTGAATAACCAATTTTACCATGCAACTCCAGTTGCAGGAAGGTATTGAATATGAGGCTTTTTCCTAATGAGAAAAGTGGAAAAGCATGGGATCAGAGTGTGAGTTTTTTATCTGAATTATTTTAGTCCAATGTACTTCAGACATTTCAGCTCTTATGGCATAGAATTCAATTGATCTTCCATTTTCCTTTGCTGGTATTGTTCAAGGGTTGTATCTTACTAGTAAATGTTGCTGTTCTTTGTTGTTCGTAATGTGCAGGTTATGCAGCGCAGCTTTGGAGTTTTATTGGGTACCTAGTAACATTCCACATTTCCAAGTGAATCTCTTCTGATGATTAAAATTTAGTTTGGACAGATTATAGCAGAAATTTACTTTGATCTCTTTTGCCATTCCTTTAGTGAGCCAGTTTACCCTGTATGGTATACTTAAGGGCAACAAGCCGGACTTCCATGTAGCAATGCCACCTGACAAAGCAAAAGAATTTTATGCATCTCTTGTTAAAAAGTTTCAAAAATCTTACACAGAAGATATAGTTAAAGGTAATTAAACCGAAGCAATTTTGAATAAAGCAGGAACTTTACATATGTCATGTACATGTTTTGCTTGCAAATTTTTTATGATCACCATGAAACACCTTTAGGAAATCATATTTCTTGGCAGTGTCTTTGGAACCTAAAAAAAAATTCTGTTTGTGTGTTGAGTTTTACCTCTCATTAGTAATGTTTGGAAGATATTGTTTTTTTTGTTTCAAGTGATTAACCCATATTGCTTTAGCAGCAATTCTGCATGGTATCTCTTTCATATATCACATATGAATTCCATTGAAGATCATATACCAATTTAAGGTATTGAAACAGAATTCTATGTGACTATCATGATCTCGTCAAAGCATTATAAGCTTCTCTTCTTGATAAGTTTTGAAAATCACGTCCTGAACATGTAATAGAAACTTTGTAACCCTACTATAGCTTTATAGCAGAAATGCATTGATTTTATTAATTGTTTTGAAACATATCGACATACAACACTGCTACTATCTCTGCCACATACCTAAGCATTCTCTTGCTCAAAATCTTGCTCTTTCTGCACTCAACTTTAAAGAATATGCAGCATTGTCATGATCTATAGTTTTATGCTTTTATCCTATCAATATTTATATGCCATTTAGAAAAGAAAAAATGTAGAAAAAAAATAATTTTGAATTTTATTGATTGATTATGTACAAAGTTTGGATGTATTTGTAGGCTTTTGTAAGAAGCTTAAAATAGAAATAAATCTAAGTTATTTACAATCTGACAGCCATAATAGAAAGAGAAGGCACATAGATTTCAATCAAAGAGCCATAAGAGGTTCTATCTAGCAGTAGAACTCTTAATCAATGTACTCAAGGATCCCTATCAAGATTTATTGACATATGGATCCGACGATTTTTAATAAAGAAAGGTCATTTCTAATATTTTCTAAGTCTTTTTAGGTCTACCTCCACCTTTCTTAACATAGGCCAAATCTAATACATCTACTCTCCTAACAGGGTCATCGAAAGGCCGGCGTTTTACATTACCAAACCATCTAAGGTGACTCTCTTTAATCTTATGTCACTGGAACTACTCCAACATTTTCACGTTGTATCCTGTCTCTAAGAGTAAGTCCACTCATCCACCCGAGCACATGGTTTAAAATTGCGCAATAAGAGGCATGCGTCAGCGCAATTTTGAACTTTTAAGCCTCAAAGCCTACGTAATGGGAGCTCGCATTGAAGCGTATGCCTCAAGTTCACTGAGGCACGCCTCGCCTCATATTTTAGAGGCGTCTGCCTCTGTACAACAATGCTAGGTACCGCTCGGTACATGCTCGGTACCACTAGGTACATGTTCGGTACTGCTCGGTACATACTCGGTATCGCTAGGTACATGCTCGATATCGCTTGGTATATTTCCATAAAAATGACTTACGGAATTTAAAAATAAGCAGACCTTCAGAATTACTCTTACAAAAAAAAAAAATTGTTGAGGGCGCTACTCCCGGAAACCCCCGCAAGGGCGCTACTCCTTGACCCTGCTACCTGACCGGGCAGGTCGAACCCCGCTAGGGGGCAGCGCCACCTTGGACCCCCGGCTGCCCAGTATATTGTTCTATTCATCATCTTTAGTAATGGTTGTATTATATTTCATAGTCTTATTATTGGGATATTTTGATTTCACTTAATATCTTGTGCCTTTTTATGTTTTATATTTTTTACTCATTAGTATATAAAAAAATTTATCATTTTATGTTTACGCAATCTTTTGATTTTGAGGCTTACGCCTCAAAATGCCTTGAGGCTTATGCCTCGCCTCATGAACGAAAAATGCCTCAATACCTGATGTAACACTTAACTTAATATTATGCTTCTTTTTTAATGGCCAACATTCTGCGTCATAAAGCATTGCAGGTCTCACTTCTATCTTATAAAATTTTCTTGTAAGATTGAGTGGTTATTTTCTATCACACGACAAACCCGAATCCTTCCTCCACTTCAACCATCCAACTTGAATTCTACTAATATTATCCCCATCTATTTCATCATCACTCTGAACAATAGACCCAAGATATTTAAAACAAGTACACTTATTGATGACTTGATCACTCAAAGTCATAAACCTCCCACTATATCTATTATTACTAAAATTACACTTCATGTATTCGGTTTTAGATCTACTCAAATGAAAACTTTTAGACTTTTAAGGTTGACCTCCATAATTCGAGCTTACCTTCATCTCCCTCTCTAGTCTTATCAACTAGAAGAATATTATCAGCAAAAAGCATACACCAAGGTACATCCTCTTGCAAATGTCTAGTGAGAACATTCATGTCTGAAGCAAAAAATATATGGCTTAAGGATGACGCTTGATGTAATCCAACTGAAATAGGAAAATACTTGGTCAAACCACCTTGTGTTTGAACGCAGGTAACAGCTCCTGCATACATATTCATAATGACTTGAATATAAGCATTGTTAACCTCTTTCTTTTCTAGAACTCTCCATAGCACTTATCTTTGAACTTTATCATATGCTTTCTCTAAATCAATAAATATCATATGTATATCTCTTTAGTCTCTCTAAACTTCTCCATCAACCCTGTCAATAAATGAATAGCTTCCATTGTAGACCTACCCGACGTGAATCCAAATTGATTTTGAGAAACATTAGTATCATGTCGTAACTTATGCTCCATAACTCTCTCCCAAACTTTTAAAGTATGACACATCAACTTAATTCCTTTATAATTCGCATAATCTTGTGCATCATCTTTATTCTTAAAAAGTAAGAATTAACACGCTCATTCTCCACTCATGTGGCATCTTTTGTCTTCAAAATAATATTAAGAAGTTTAGTAAGCCAAGTAATTCCTCCATCTCTTAAGCATTTCCATACCCCTATTGGAATATCATCCAGGTCTACTAGTTTTTTCAAACTTCATTTTCTTTAAAGCTTCTCTAACTTCAGTTTTACTAATACGTCGATAAAAATAAAAATCTCTATTTTTATTTAGGTGCTAAGGTCACTAAAGTTAATCGTATTCTCGTAATCTTCATTGAAAAACTTAGCAAAATATATCATCCACCTTTGTTGAATATCTCATCCAATTTTGTTAGTGTTTTTTAAAAGCCCCCATATAATCTTTAGAGAGTTTTATTAAATTTTTCATATTTTGTTCTTTTATCTTAAAAGTCCAAAACTAATAAATGGTGGGTACATAAACTTTCACTCGAATAACTTTACAATCTTTGCAACCTAAATAATCTATTTTTCTTATATGAAAATAATCAATCCAAGTTTTACTATATTCATTCTTATAAGTGATGAGATGCTCATCTCTTTTATTAAATAAGATATTAGCAATTACAAAATCATAAGCTAGAGCAAAATTTAATATAGTCTTAGCACCTTCATTAGTCATTTCAAACCCATAGCTACAATGAATACTTTTAAAATCCTCAACCTCTCTACCAATATGTTCGTTTAAATATCCTCCAATAAAAATTCTTTATTCAAGAGGAATATTTTGAATTAATTATTCTAAGTCATTCTAAAATTTTAAATTTAAACACATATTTAAACCTACTTGAGGAGCATAAGCACTTATAATATTAATAATCTTAGCATCAATAATAATCTTCAAAGCAATAATTTTGTCTCCAATTCTATCAATTTTTATAATATTATCCTTCAAACTCTTTCTATAATCATACCTACATCATTTCTAGTACGACTTCTACCAGAATATCAAAGTTTAAATTTTAAACTATTAATCTCTTTAGTCTTATCCAACCCATTTAGTTTCCTGAATGTATAAAATATTTATCTTCATATGAATGATATTATTAATTAATTTCATTAATTTACCTGTAAGAGAACCTACTTTTCAAGATTCAATCCAAATTATAGTTTCATGGACTAGCTTGTTTGCTTATATTCGCCCATGATGTGGGAACCCTTAGCTATTTAAAACTGCACCCGGGCGTCGATGCAGCGGCCCTCGCACACTTTTAGTTGTATTCAGTTCATACAGTGCGTTCCTTACAGGGAACGCCCTAACATTAACACAATGTATTAAACGATTCATGTAATTATAATTCGACAAGTTTTATAATGGTTGTTGACTACCTAACATAATCCTCCACCTTTCTCATCTAGGACTTGGGACCTTGCAATGGCAATGTTAGGAAATAAATCAAATCCACTTAGTAAAAAAAGATCTCTAAGAGGGGCCAATGACTAGAATAGGAAGATGAGATACTGTTAATCAATTAATTTAATTTTGTTGAAATTCCTATTAATTAATTAAACATAATTAATCAATTAATTTCAAATAAAATCTGAAGTCTATAATAATTAATTTATTTATATTAAAATACTTTAATTAATTGAGCGATTAATTAATCAATCAATTGAATTTTAATTAATTAAAATAGGTTAATTTATTATTTAAATTGCATTGAGCACAATTTAAAAAGTGGTGAGAGAGCCACGCTGGTGAAAGTGTATTTTTAGATTAAAAAAAAAAAAGAGAAAACAATGTTCGCACTAACAAACCTAAATACAACTCACACTAACTAAAATACCCAAATTCCTAAAAAAAAACACCAAACAAAATTCTTAAACAAAATAACTCTCAAACTAAACAAAAACAACTCTCCAAGAACTTTAAAGCCACTGTGCAAGATCTCCAATGCTCCAAGCAAGTTACTGCATGTACAAAGCTCCAGGTACTTGCAAGTGAAGAAACAAAACTGATCAATACTAAAACAACTGCTAAAATAAGAAAAAGAATGTATTAAGCTAAATTACAGTACTGAAAGAAAAATAGAGCATTGAAAGAAAAACATGGTCCTAAAAGAAAACACCATTGTCAAGACTATAAAGAATTGAACTAAAGTAACTGTTGTCTAATCTACCCCAAACAAAATTTACAAGCAACTTCCAAAGGGAAGCGGTAAGTCTTATAACCCACTTGAGCCACTTTTAAGTGAAATAGTAAGACCCGCACGATAGGGAAACTTCTAAGCAATGTACAACAATCCTAAAATCTAAACATAATCTATAAGAAACTTCCAAAGTGAAATCGAGAAACCTACCCAAATAATCAAAACCACTGGGCCACCTTACTTATAGGGCTAAGGTTGTAAGACCCGCCTTCATGCCACTTCTAAATTCAGAAGCTGTAAGACCTATACCAAATAGCTAGGCATCTTCCAAGGGAAGTTATAAGAAATGCTATTTGGGTAGCTTTTAATGAAAGCCGTAACACTTCTAAAATAATTGGGCTACTTTCAATGAAAGCCGTAAGACTCATTTCTACAATAATTGGCTACTTTTAATTAAAGCTGTAAGACGCACTTCTAAAACAATTAGGCTACATCAAATGGAAGTTGTAAGCCCCGGACCAATTCGATTAATCGGGTAACTTCTAAACAAAGTCATAAATCCCAAACTAAATTAATTATTGGGTATTATAACAGATGTTAACCCCAAACTTCCATAAAATTACGCCCCACCTATAATCACTTTACTCTACTCGGGATCTCTGAGAGGAAGTAACCTATGACTGCTAATCAGATTCCTTGGACACTATGATCAATGATTATTAGTATTGTTAGACTAAAACCTACGGTATATCCGGGACGACGGAACCATGGGATTTTAATCGGTTTTATCTCCATTTTCCCCTACAACTGAGATTAAAAACACTTAAAATTATTCATTCTTAATCAAGATTTATCTCTTACGCGTTAATAGGTGTAATTAACTGTGAGTGCTTGCGCTCATGGGAAGTAAGGATCCAGATCTAACTAAGCATTGATACTACCCTCAGAGGAAATCGAGTTAACTACAATATTCCCTAAAAAGAGTTGAATCCTATGGCTGCAAAGCAGGATTCATGCTGACGCGTCGTTTTTCTTGAGCCAACAGACTGAGGCTGTTGATGAATTCATCTACTTATTACCTATCTCATGGATTGGGACTT